TTTTTTTTACTTTTCTGCTGGATGGTAAAGACCAAGGTAAAGCAGGACCTATACAACAAGAGTTGTAGCTTTTGGATCTGATAAGGTCAGTGAAATCCCCTCAGGGTTTATCCTGAGATCCTCTACCTCAGATTGTAGAACCCTTGTCAGTGTCAGCCATGTGGATGAGAAAAGGTCATGTTTGGCCAATGTGCTCCCTGTGAAAGCCTGAGAAAATGTTTCTGTCCATGTGACTCTCCTTAGGCACACTCTACTTCATCAATCACTTTCCTCTTTGACCCCATAATCCCCTTGATCAGAAAATTTGGGACACTACTGAGTTAAATGATGTTACACTACAAGTTCTCATATGTCCTGAGTCTTAATTGACCTTCGAAGGCTAGGGACAAAATGTTGGCTTTCCTTGTGGTCCTCCTTTTTCTCTAATTTTGGTCTGCAAACTTAGGTTGTTAACCTTCAAGAAGAGAAGCTTATTGTTATTACATACAACCTAGGCTGTTAAGCTTAACATCACTATCTGTCTGAATATCAAATATCTTAGTCATAACACTGAACAGATGTTTTTCATGAAGTATTGATATGTTGAATTTAAGTCCTCCTTTCTCATTGATGCCTATTAGTCTCACATTGTTTATCTTTTCCAGCATCTTGCAGATGATGAATTGTTTTTTCCTAAATCCTATTTGGTTTTAGGAGATTCTTTCTTTTCTTTCCACTAGCGGCACCAGCATCTTCAAGATCTGAAACTCTGTCTTCACTTTCACTTAAGTGGTTTTGCAATCTTTGATTGAGATTTTAAGTTCCGCTGTTTCTCTTTGACTCTGCTTCATGCGATCTTTTTGTTTCTTGTATTCTCTTTTAAGGAATCCATCATTTTTCTAATCTCCTCAATTTTTTTTATCAATGTCTTTTTTAGAAGCAGTTATTAATTTTCTTACTGCAGTGTTTTTTCAGATTGGGTTTCCTCCCTATGTTTCTGTAGTTGCTTCTTTACTTCAGATGCTATTAGTTCAGAGA